CCAGAAAGCATTAAAAAAGATATGAAAAATAATGGGTTTTTAGCTATAGGCAGATAGATCTGTAGGGCTTTAAACAGGTCAAGGAGCCAGATGAATTAGGAGCGAGGGTGTCTGTCTTATCTTCCCTTCATGGACATCAGTTGAAAAGCCCCATAGGGTACAGTATCTCTTCATTCTGGCACACTCCATAGTAGGGAAGGAAAAATGTTTAAGAATGTTTGGGATTAAGTGAAATAAGTCAAGCAGAGAAAGTTAATTATCATATGGGTTCACTTATTTGTGGAACATAAGGAATAGCATGGAGGACATTAGGAGAAGAAAGGGAAAAATGAAGGGGGAGAAATCGGAGGGAGAGATGAACCATGAGAGACTATGGACTCTGAGAAACAAACTGAGGGTTCTAGAGGGGAGGGGGGGGGGGGGATGGGTTAGCCTGGTGATGGGTATTAAAGAGGGCACGTTCTGCATGGAGCACTGGGTGTTATACGAAAACAATGAATCGTGGAATACTACATCAAAAACTAGTGATGTACTGTATGGTGATAACATAACATAATAAAATAAAATTAAAAAAAGAATGGGATTTTTTTATTGTAATTTATTTTTTAAACAAAATGTTTTTGTTTCTTTAAATGGCTTGTAAGTGTGTCAGGAGTAAGTTCGGCAGTTAACCTGCACCTGTGGTGTTTGAAGCCCAGCGGAGTTTGTATGTCCTTATTCAGGCACCACTGCACTGTGCGCTCTCGGAAAGACAGCTAGTGGTGGTAATTTGCACGATCCAGAATCACAGGCACTTTCTCACCTGGCTGGGGAGGGCTTCTGGAACTCCAGTGATTCCTCACTTTATATTTACAGTCTTGGGAGCTCCGCATTGCTGCATGTCAGCCTGTGCTGAGCTGCGGCCTGGCGTTGCTTTCTGAGAGCCGAACTTTCTTTCCCTTGGTCTGTTTTCTCTAATTCTTGCCCTCTTTTCTTTTCTTTACTCTTTCTCTTCTTTACTCTTTCTCTTCTTTTCTTTCTCTTACTTGTATTGGTAACAGATCAGCACACCAGGGACACCAGCCCAGTAGTGCAGTCCTTGTTAGAATAAAGGTGCAGCGGGGACTGGGTTGACTTACTGGCCAGGCTCTTGGGGAAGGCAGGCCGAGCAGAGCACCTCCTGTGGACAGTATGTGTCTTCCTTCAGCTGGTGGTCAGCAGCAACAGCTGTTCTCCTGGCTTTAGAATGTTAACACTTGTTTGCTTTACTGTCTTAGTGGACAGAGAATATTCCTTGCCCTGTCCCCTGATCCCTTGGGACAAAAAAGCAAGTCCAGAAGCTGAAAAATAAGCACTCACTGTAGCCTTTGAGTTCTGTAAGAGGGCCATTAGGGCCCTCCCAGGCTTCTATCTTCACCCCTTAGGTAGTCTACACCAGTGTCAAGCTGAGGGCCTTGATCCACTGGAGATTTAATTCAATGTCATAACCATCTTTTTTATTTCACTTATTTCACTTAACCATAACCCTGGCCACCAGCCCGAGCTGCAGGCCTGCTGCAGTTGCTGGCCTCTCAGCTCTTTAATGAAATAGAATGGAAGAGATACTGAACATACCACATGTAGTAAAGATTAACCATTGTTTTGTGGAAACTTCGTTATATGTAAGTTATATACCCATATGTAAATGTATATATGGGTCACAATAAAATTAAAGGTTTGAAAACACTCAACTACACAGTTCCTTATCTGTAGAAGTACATTCTGCCTCTCCCTGCCCAGGCCCTGTTTTGGCAGCGTTCCCCACCCCCGTTTCCCCCACCACCTAGCAGTTCCCCCATTCCTGAGCATGGAAACTGCTACCATGGCGGCCCCAGTGCCCAGCACCCCTCCACTTTATGTCCAAACACCAGCTATGCCTGGACTCCCTGAGCCTGCTCACCTGCTCAACGAGACATGGAGGACCCAGGCCCTGGACTCCTACCTAATCTCTGTTATAGGTTATAACACCCTCTAGTTACAATGTTGTGAACTCCAAAACTGGACTTTTTCTCAGTGGCTTTAGCATCTGACAGTCTAGGGTTCCTATAGACCACTTAGTAGCTTTGTGATTTCGGGCTTTATGTCTATTTATATAGAGAAGGTACTCAGTAAATACTCATTTTACACCTCTTGTTTTTCCCATAGCACCCATACCCAGGTTCCCACTCCCACTGGATGTGTTTTTAACATACAGCCTCTCCCTGTCTGTCCTGAGCTGAGATGTGACAGTTTTGACTGAGGTTTTTGACTGTGAAGGGGTTACTTCAGAGGAGACAGGGAAGTAAGAGACAGCCCAGAAGAAAAGGGAGTAAGTGATAAAAGCAGAGATAATGCTCTTGTTCTCAAGCAACTTTTCTGTTCCCTCTCCTTTCTCTTGCCTGTCTGCCTGACAGGAATTAATGTGCATCGACATGTTTACTCTTTTCCACTCAGAAAGGGGCAGGGAGACCACCTGCTTGTGCTTCCTCCTCTTAAAGAGCTGAAGCTCAGCTGCTGGTGGGTGGAGGGGCAGCCTAAGAGAGGCCCTGCTTTGCCTCTGAGTCTGCATGGAGTGGTTGGGTTTTGGTCACCACAGGCCCAGAGGTCTCTCTCCTGAAAGACATTTTGAAGCCATTTCAGCGTGATCTGTTGAACTCCCTGGGCTTGTTGAGCCATCTTGTGTTCTGGATTTAAATCATTTTGTGGTCTCCCAGGATTCAAAGAGAGCTACTGGGATGTCTAGATTTCTTGAGATTTCTGAATACCAAGATCATGACAGCAGAGTAGAATGGGTACATCTACTCAACCAGTGAGACTCAGGAATCTTCTGTGCCCTTTTTATGAAAAGTCTTTCCCCCAATTCCTGCTGCGCAGTCAGTTGTCCCAGTTTCCTCCCGGTTCTAGTCCCCAGTTCATAACCACCCCACCAACAGTACCCAGCTCAGCCCCACCCAAATGGCTGCTAAAGGTCAGAAACAAACTGGAAACTTATTGTAATGATATTCTTGTTTTGCAGCAATGCTTTACCTGTGGGTATGTGGCCAAAAAGTTCAATAGAATTGTTTATTTTTTCTCTCTGACAGTTCTGTTCTTGCTTAGTTTGCAGATATAAAATGAAAAGTGTTTTTGGCTGTTGATGTTGTAGAAATCATGAGCTGTCTTTCATTCAGTTTTACTCTAGCCCCATCTCTCCCTTCAAGGTTAATCTCAGGCTCTTTGGCTCCGAGTTTATTGCTCTCTTTTACAAAAATCAGTTCCACTTCTCGCAGCACCCTGGCATTGAAGTGCCCAGAATGAGGCAGCCCCAGTGATCTGCTTGCCCATGGGACAGTTGGGCCAGGCCCTCCGCTGCCCCATGTGCACCTCGGTGGGAGAACGGCCCTGGCCACCAGCCCGAGTGCAGGCCTGCTGCAGTTGCAGGCCTTCTGCTGCTCTCCCTCGCTGCTATTTTGTCTGATGTGCTATATTCCTTTTGTGAGGCCTTGAGGCTTAGAGAGAAGGCTCTGTTCTTGAGCTTCTGAAAACCCAAAGTATAAACTATTCCCTTTCCTCTGAGCTTCATGACCTTGAATCTGTGCTGTGGCCAGAAACATGAGCAGCCACTTGGCTGCATCCAGAAGAGATGTATATTCTGTCCCAGCAGTGGTGGCCCCTCTTCACCCAAAGGCTCCCTGGTAGGTGTTTGCAGTAGCCTCGACACCCTGTGCCACATGTTTTATACCTGCACCTAAGGCTGCTTGTAAGTAAGACATAACACCTCCCGGGTCTGCCTTATGCTGCAGCAGCAGAGACCAGCAGTGCTTCGGAGATATGGGCATTAAATATATCCTCCCCCATACTTTGATCATTTCCTCTCATTGTGTCTCTAGCCTCGTTCAGTTTTTTGCATTAAAATTACAGCTACGGTATGAATTTTTTGGAAATATTTATAAGTAACTTGGATGTCAAAATGTGACATATTTCATGGTCTGTCACCGGTGACCACTGTTAGTGATAAATACATTTGCAAAATTAATGCCTGAATCAAAGGGAACAAGAAAAGGCAGTCTGAGTGGGTTAGTGAGCACCTGTGTTGTGTAAAAGACTGTCCTTGGATATAAAGAAGTGTGAAGAACGGGATCCTCAGGGGTCTTACAGACCAGGTATGGAGTGAAAGACAACTGAGGTTATGAGCATGTGTGATGACTACAAGCAATAATACTACTAATAATGGTAAAACAATAAGAATTAAAATGTATTATACCTCTCCATATGCCAGGCATTATGCCACAGCATATTTTACGTACATAATCTCCCCTAGGTCACCTAGGCTCCCCTAGTGAGGTAGATACACTGAGGCTTTGAGTGGTTCCGTAACTTGGCTAAGGTCACAAAGCAAACAAGTGATAGAATTAGGATGTGAATCCAGGTCTGTCTGGTTCCAGACACCTAATACTTCATCAGTATTCTGTTTTCTTCTGTTTCTCATTCTGAATGAAAAACTGATGGTACTATTGTCCAGACTATAGCCAGAGGACAGTGGGGGAAGCTTATGAAGAGAAAAACGACACTGAATTAACACTTGTGAATTTGACGTGAAAGTCGGATGGTAAAGAGAAAATGTCTAAGAGTCAGCTGGAATGGCTCTTGGGAGGCAGAATGGCTGGGGAGAGCAGTATAATTTAGGTGAGAGAGCCATTTATAAAAATGATGGTTAAGACAGTGAGACGATTGGATTGTAAGGAGTGAGGAGCACAAGACGGGGGTGCATCCCACATCTGGGTGTGCCTGTTTTCCCTGCACGTTTTTATCTGGAACTCCCCAGGTCCTTTTGACAATTCCCAGATGCTGTGACTGAGAGCCCCTCGTTGTTGCTGCCCTGGTGGTGTTGGTTTTTCTCTCTGAGCCCCCTTATCTCAGACGTGATGGCATTCTGATCTAAGTCCTGCCCTGTTGGAAGGGTCAGGGGCGCTAGGCCTTCTGGGCCCCTTTTCATCACAAATTCTCCTTCTCTCCTGACACAGGCATCGAATGCCCCAGAGGAGCCCGGAACCTCCCAGGCTTGGTGCAGGAAGGAGAGCCTTTCAGTGAGGAAGCAACACTTTTCACCAAGGAGCTGGTGCTGCAGCGAGAGGTGGGACATCTTATGGTTGCTTCTTGTCTGAAGAGGGGTGAGAAAATGGGGCTCCCTTGGCCTGATGTGTTCCTGCCACATCAGAAATCAGTCTGTCATTTTTTCCAATGCTCAGCCTTCCACATCCACCATCCATTGTAGGTCTGCCCACAGCCTGCTTCCTTGAGCCCTGCATCATTGACCAGGCACCCCTAAATCACCCCTCACCATTGGCGTCCTGGGATACGTGGCGAACACCAAGCCCACCTCCCCAGCATCCTAATGCAGAGGGCTTACAGCTTTGCAGTTCTCCTCCTTGGCGAATTAGCCTGAGCTGCCTGCCTCCAGCTGGATTTAGAAGCTTGACTAACCCTGTCAGGGGCCAATTTTCTTTGAACATTTATTTGTATCTTTGAGTAATTGCATTTTCTGTAGCGGGTTTTCTGACTTAATTTAATTGTATTTCTGTTTCTGCCTGTTGAGCTAGCTCTTGCAGGCAGGAGTTAAGCTTCTCAGCTGCCGTGGTGTCCACCTACCTGCTAATTTTTTATCAAGTCATAGTCAACTGATCCATCTTCTTTCCAGGAGTATTCCAGTCATTCATCCTGCTAGGTGGGCACAAGAAAGGAACAGTGGGGGAGTGTGCCAGGCTCAGGCTGAGGATTTTAGATCTGCCTTTGTCCTCATTTCTTTTACAATCAAACCCATAGGGTCCCTTCAGCTTTCATGCAATATCATAATATGCACAGAGCTAAAAGATTATGGGGTCCAGGAGGTTAGCTCACTCATGGGTCTTTGTAGATCCTTGAGATCAGACGTGTGGGCTTTGGGATGTTCATAAGCTACAGCATCTCTCATTTTGGTTTGAATCACCAGTGAATATATTGGGCACTAGAGGCACAAGAGAACAAGCTAGCCCAGGATACTGCGTTGGACTGCCCTGGCCTGTAGAAAAGCCCCTCTTTGACTTCTGGCTGAGCAGTACTATTTGCTTTTGGTTGCCGCCTCTTTGGGATTTCTTTAGCACTTACCTTCCCGTTTTGTGAAACCAAGTGGTGTGGCAAAAGGAGTCCTGAATTCTTAGTTCAAGAGCTATGGGTTCCAGTTCCCAAGAACAAACTGCAGCTACCTGGGCATTGCACCAGCTCTGTTGGCCATTTGTACAGTGGGGTAGAGATGCGAGTGCTTACCCCCGGTTGTCTCTTCAGTCTCACGTTGACCCCTATTTTGGTTTTGGTAAGATGCATTTGAGTTTGTGAAGAAGAACTCCTCATATTGGCATGTGAAGTGCCTTCCCCCTTCCCTCTATTTTGTAACTGCACAGTGTAGCTTGAATTTTTAACAGTTACAGATAGGCCCCTGCTAGAGAAGTATTTTAAGAATCTAAACTCCAGTTGTCTCTCAGTAACTGTTGTAATTTGGGGCATGGTACTTAGGTAGAAGGGGCAGATATTTTAGTATTTCCTCTTTGTGAGCCTTTGGATAATGAACTACAGAGCAGTTCTGGGTTGGAAAAAACAAGTGAGTCCACACAGGGTCTGTGACTTAAAGACCTCACAGAGGTAGCAGATGTTTGGTGGTTGTGCTTTGGATGGAGGGAGGAAAGGCCCTCCTTGGATTGCCTGAGACCTCCGTTAGCAACATTCTCATCACTTCCCTGCCATGCCCCACTTCTGTGTTGCCCTCCCCTTTCTCACCGCCGTCTTCCCCTGGTGTTTCACGTTTCCTAAAGTTTCTTTCCCTTTCTTTTTCAACTCTTGTTTCCCCAGCCACTTTTCTACCCGATCGTGTTTCCAGCCCACCGATGATATCCAAAAGCACAAGGGGGGTCAGAGAGAATACTGAATGTGAGTTTGCAGATCTTAGTCTAATCTAGATTTGATATTTAGCTTTCTTGGTTGTAGTGCCCCAATCTTGCAGAGCCCCAAGTTGGGGTCTCTTGATATAGAAACTTTCTGCATTTTCTTAGCTGCTTATATGATTACCTGGCCTGACTGTTTTGAAGGATCTTTATCCAGAGGAAAGAGGAGTATGGCCTAAACTCAGGATAACTTGGAAGTTTTTACTAAAGGAACCAGTCTGGCCTGTTCTCCTGGGCATTTCCCTTCATTGTATGTATGAAAACTGTTTTCTGAACAGTGTAGGAATGATGAGCAGTTTTTGTTTTGTTCTAGGTTTATTCACTTTACTTTTACCTGTATTTTTATTCCATACATTGTCGTGGAGAACATTTCTCTTGGCCCTCTTCCTACCCCACAAGGATCTAGAAAAGCCTGATGAATTGGCATTCCTGGATGCAGAGATCGCCCCCCACCCTGAGGAGAAAGTACTGTGTAATTGTCTGGATGCCTGAGTGTGGATTCACAGCCTAGCACCCAGTAGCTCTTACCTTCAGGGCAGCCTCCATTGTGCCCCACTCCGGGTGCTCTTCTGGGGCGGAGCTGCTGCCGTGGTGGCCCCCGCTGAACAGGTTTTTTGTACCTTGTGCCTGTTCCCTTGACAATCAGCTTTAGCTCAGGTCATCAAGTATTATGATGTGATTGTCCTTGATCCTGTCCCATCCCTCCCCTTTAAATTTTTCTTTTTTAGTATCTTATTTTTGACCAGGATTTGTCTGTCCCCTGCCTACTTTTCCCAGTTACTTGAAACTTGCAGTATCATATAGGAAAGGAGAAGCACACAGATATCGTCATTTCACAGCATGTGCTGGGCCCCCTGTTTGATCCCACAGCGGTGCCTCCATCAAGTTCGACTCATATGCGTGAACCTGTAAACTGACTGGGAAAGGGTGTGGCGTGGGGGAGAGCCTACAGTGGACACTGCCCTTGGGGCAGCCCCCCTGCCGGGGAGCAGACACAAAGCTGGGGCATAGGTGCCTGACTCCCTGCTTAGGACTGCATTGTCTTGGCTTTGGGTAGCCAGAGCAGTAATTGCTGCCTCTTCTTTCTCTATTTTGGTAAAGAGAGTGTTGTAGTCTTTCCATCCCATAGCCTCATGTGGAACCTGCCAGAGTCTCTTGCAAGTCTCTTGTTTACATTTCAGATGGTCCCCATTGTCTGGAGACTTGATAGCCCTGCTTTCCTTAAATGTGTTTTACAGTGACACTAGTTAGCACGGAACTACTGACATTCCTGGCTACCACTCAGCCCCATTTCCTGTCTTTCCTGTCACCTTTCATTGTATTTCTTCTTTTTCTTCATTTTTCTACGTGGTCCTTCTCCTTGGCCATTAGTTCCCGTTGTCTTTTTTTTTTTTTTTAAGCTTTATTTATTTGAGAGCAAGAGAGAGAGAGCACAAGCGGGGGCGGGGGGAGACAGAGGGAGAGGGAGAAGCAGACTCTCCGCTGAGCAAGGAGCCCAATGCAGGGCTCAATCCAGGACCCTAGGATCATGACCCGAGCCAAATGCAGACTCTTAACTGACTGAGCCACCCAGGCGCCCCAGTTGTCTTTTGTTTCTTTCCCTGAGCTAGGAGCCTGGGAAGACTGTTCCAGGTCAGGGGTCTGGGTGTTCTGGCATTCTTGCTCCAGGGCAAGAAAAAGAGCACTTTAGATACCAGCTTGTTACCTGACCCTTTGTGGCCTTGAAGGCCAAAGCAGCCAAAGAACTCTAGAGGAAATCCAATCAGCTCAACAGTTCTTCCCAGCCTGACTCAGTTAGGATGTAACAGGGGTGGGCACATCCAGCCCACTGCCGGTGTTCGTGAATAAAGTTTTACTGAAACACTGCCACACTAATTGTTTTATGTACTACGGTCTATGGCTGCTTTCATCCTCTTAACAGCGGAGTTGAATAGTTACGACAGAGGCCATAAGGCCTGCAAAACCTAAAATATTTACTTATCTGTCTTTTTATCACAAGAAGTTTGCTGACCCTTGCTATACAGTAAGTATATGCTGAGTTGGTTGGTTTAAATAGCTTGCAGCCCTGAAAATGACAGTTTGCTCTTATGTCCCCTGCCTCAGGCTGGGCTCCTTCTGGGCCGAGCAGAGTGAGATCATTGTGTTCATTGCTGTAGCTGTGATTGTGAGCTATATGAGTGCTGTGTCCCACTGGACGGCATGAGCTTGTGTGCCCCCCTCCCGCAGTACAGCTGCCTCTTTCAGGCAGTTCTCTGCTGCACTGCCAAGGACAGGAAGATCTGGTGTAGCTTCCCAGATGGGGAACTGTGCCCATTGCTAGCATCTTCCCAGAAGTAGTGGTGAGCGTTAGCTAATGGGTAGATAACTGGCTTAAATGTGCACGCTCTCAGTTTTCGAGCTCCAGTTAATCATGTGGTTCTGAGTGACTCTTTCCTGCCTTGGTATTCCTGTCTAAAACACTGATGTAGCAATCCAAAGCCATCCTCTTCCTTTTGAGGCCCTTCCTGTGACTAAAACAGTCACATGGGATCTCTTCACACCTGTCAGGAAATCCTGCACTCTTAGAGAAGGGGCTCTAAGGCATGAAAAGAGATCAGTGCCACAGTTTAACCCTCTTCACAGTGCCAGGCTCTGAGAGGTACATTTCCCTGGGGCAGGAGCTGGGATGTAGGAGGTTTGGTGATCATTTCCAAGACCTTTCTCAGTGACCCCTTTGTCCTCTTGAGATCTCAGAAATCATCCTTTGCTGCTGTCTGGAAGATGTCCTCGTGCTGGACAGCCTGAGCTGAAAACTCTGGCTGCTGCCCTAACCTATTTCCCTTTCTCCTGCGGGCATCAAAAGGGAGGATGCCCCCCTGGGGAGTTCCTGCTGCAGGTTTCGGTGGCCAGGGCATAGTCCTGGATCCCCTCGCTCCCACCACCCCGCTTTTTTAAAAACAAAGATGCACAAAAGATCACAAGCAACTGTTGCTATCTGAAGAACATGTATTTACATTTCAGAGGAATATGGACTTGGCAGTGAATACTGGTGTGTATTTATGGAGAGCTGTTCGGGAGAGAAACCTTAGAATAAAAGAAAAATGGTTTCTTGTTTTTTGTTTTTACCACCAAGTGTGCTGCATCTTGTCTGAGAAAGATAATAAACGGTCCAAGCAGTTTA